TCAACAACCAAATAGAGAAGTGCTTCATGGCAGACTTGTGACTCCATGAGGGACCCACACTGGAGCAGCTCCTGTGGGACAGCCCACGGTGAAGGAGCTGTGCTTCTGCAGCCCATGGAAGGCTACGGATTGGGCTATGCTAATGATGGGCTCCAGCAGGAGCCCCCTGCTGCAGCCAGGCTGGAGACAAGGGGAGGTTCACTGCAATGTTAAACCAGAAGGAGCCAGGAGTTTGCAATGGATATGCCTTTGAGTTGCTATGGTCCACGGGCTGTGTGTAACAGGAGTCTCTATAACAGGAGCCACCAAGCAAGGCAGGAGGAGCCTTACAAGAGGCAGCTGCAGGGCAGCAGTGACCCAGCCTGAGCTGGTCTGGTGCCCAGTAACTCCTTGCACACACCACCTCTCCAGTGCACAGTGAACACCATAACAGATGGAGCCCGAAGTTGTGGACTAAATACACCCAGTGAACATTCTAAGGACATCTGTGGACATTTCATGGACATTTTGTAGAAGTGATCCTTAAATTTAAGGCAACAATGACTATGTATCACATCTCAGGATGGGGAGGAGGGATGTGTTTAATAAGGTGGTTTTGGTTACAATGAGGCCTGGCCATGATGTAAATTATACTGAATAGAAGGGGAATGTTCAGGGTCTGGCTGACACAGTGTTATTTCTTCCTCACAGCAGCTAGTATAGGGTTATATTTTGGATCTGTGCTGAGCACAGGGTTGATAATGCAGAGATGTTTTTGCTATTGCTGAGCAGGGCTCACACAGAACCAAGGCCTTTTCTGCTCCTTGTACAGTTGTGAGGCAGCTGGGGGTGCAGGGGAGGAGACAAAGCCAGGACAGGTGGCCCAAAGTGACCAAAGGAACATTCCAGACCATGTGACACCACGCTCAGTGTATATATTGGGGGGAGGAAGGAAGAAGAGAGGACATTTGGAGTGATGTCCTTTGTCTTCCCAAATCACTTCCCCAGCCCTGCTTTCCTGGGGATGGCTGAACACCTGTGTGCCCACGGGATGTAGTGAAAGAATTCCTTGGTTTGCTTTGCTCCTGCGCATGGCTTTCACTTTACCTACTGAACTGGCTTTTTCTCAGCTTGCAAGTTTTCTGTTTTTACTGTTTTGATTCCTCCCCAGTCCTGCTGGTGAGGGAGGGACCAGCTGCGTGGTACTTGGTTGCTGACTGGAGTTAAATTGTGGCAACTGGTAAAACCTTTTTGAAGCTAGCTACTTACCTCATCTCTCTGCAAGATCATACCCCCATCAACAGAGACCAGGAACATAATTTATCATTATCCTTCTCTTTAAGAGTTTGTACTGTAACAATTTCCTTAGACTGAGGACTTTCTAGGAGTATTTTATTTACAAATAAGATTGTGTGAATATATTGAAGTAAGTGTATGTTTTTACTCATTCTGTACTTGTATGTTCAACCTGAGTTTATATTTAAGCCAAGCCTCCTTGTCTGCAATAGTTTAGTCACAACATATGGAAAGGGCACAGAGAGAACACAAATGTAATAACCTGAATGTTAATTATCTTCTACTTTTAAGTTCCAAGTGGAAACTGTTTGGTAAACAGGTTGAAAGCTCTGAAAATATCTCGAGGGCACATTCCAGCCCTCGGGAAGCACTTTAAAAAACCCACATAGAATGGTAAGGCTTTTGTAGAATTCCATCAAGGAAACACTTAAAAACTAGCTTTTCAAAGTCAAGGTTACTGCAAGTGTATTATCATGATGGCAGCCACATCCTTCTCTTCTTCTTCTGGTCATGCCTCTGTTGGAAGTCTCTAGAGCTTCCTCAGCCAAATATCACATAGCTCCTGAATACATTCTTCTGCTCTTTTCCCTCTCCTATTAAGTCCAAACTTCTTCACACAGCTTTCTCAGCGTCCTCTTCTCCCTGTGTTCCCTTGTTTTCCCTCCTTGCTGCAATCCCCTCACCTCTAGTAAGGATAACATCTTTGTGCTTTCCCTCATTCTTCTTCTTTCCCTTACTGCCCTCGTGTGGCATCACATTCTGCCTTCCCCAAGCGCATCGAGCGATCCTCCCCGGCACTGCGAGACCAAAGACAGTCCTTCCAGGCACGCACACCCTTCTTCTGCTGAGACAACACAAGAGACAGAAGGCTGGGCTGAGATCTCCCATGCATATTTGTTTTTTCAGAACATGGTGCAGAGCTGGGGTTGAATAGCGCATGAATAGAAATTCCCAAAGTCTTCATTTGGTTTCTGAGTTCCCTTTGAAGAAGTTATGCTTCTATTGATAATTATGGAAAACTTACAAAAATTGCTCCAAGCTTTAAATGGCAGCAGAATTCGGTCCCAATGAGGGCAAAAAAGTTATAATTCTTCTTGGATTTGGCACCATAAAATCGTATCATTAGCAGAGGGATGAGATATGACCTAAACCTTGGGATGAGTGAACAGCACAGAAAATTTTTCAGCATTAACAGACCCTGGAGATACAGCTGGATTTCTCACATATGCACAGCAGCAGCTAGGGCTCTTAAATCATGAGGCTTTACAACACCCTACTGAACAAGCAGGTAAATCTACTGATCAGAATTGATTTTCTGCTGCCCTGTCACAGAAGAAAAAGCTCAAATTTCTTTGCTGATGAAAATAGACAGAGAAAAATCTGCACCAGTTTTGAGTTCATTCTAAGCTAAATGATGACAATGAGTAATGTGAATATTTTGTTTTCTATGTAGTTTAATCCCTGGTGCACTTTTTGTTTAGTTACAACGTGCCTCAAATAGGAATACATTAAAGCATAATATAAGTTTTAATAGCTGAACTTATGTGGAGAGAAGTATACATGTGGGCTCTATTCCCCTATACCATAACAGCCATGGGAAATTTATTTGGATTTTTTCTGCATCTGCTGCCTCAAAATGAACATTTTTATGCTCATTAGGGATACATCTTGATGAAAATGAACTTTTCAACTACTCTTAATCTTCAAATGTTGGCTGTTTTTTTTCTTCTGGTACAAACCCCATCCCTGCCTGTGCGCACATGCCCAGCAGCATGTTCTCAGATGATGGGAGAACAACATGTCAGATCCTCCCATGACACTTCCATGAGCCCTGCTCGTGCTGCTTGCCCAAGGCTGTGTTCTTTATGCAGCAGGAAAACAGCAAGAAATGGCTTTCAGGAACCAGGGAGCAAGGAGATGGACAGAGTGTGGGCATAGCTGTGTGTTTAAGCACAAAAAAGTGACAGAAAGGAGCTATTAACTTAATTAAACGCTGAAAAGCTAGACAAGTGAGCAAAAATCCACAGGAACTTCCAGATTATCCAGATCCTATTTTGCTGTTGGAGATCAGTGTCTGGGAGGACTAGGACTAGGCGCTCTGTGTACTATTAACTTTCTGTGTGACATTAGATGAAATATTTGCATATATTTTTAAGCATTTATTCAAATTAACATAATAAAATGCCTCCACTGAATTTTACCTTTTTTGAAGCAACATTACAACACTGCCATTCCTCAGCCTACAAAACCCTGTCACCAGCTGTTACATAACCAGAGGACCAAACATTCCTCCTCTCACATGCATTTTAAATGCATGTCTACATAGTTAATTGCCAAACTGTCCAATAAGATCTTGAACTGTTAAGCTAGATGGTGCACAAAAATCTGACAAAAGCCAAACCCTCCCCAGAGAGCATGCAATGTAATCTGAAATGGAAGACACAAGCAAAAAAGAAGAATTAAATGTGATAGAAAAGAAATCAACTGGTAAGTGTGTAATCACTACCTGTGTCATAAGTGGTGCATCATATCAATAATGTGATTATTATAAAATTTTAAACCTTCACTGCAGCTGTTTTTATTGGCTGTGGCTACCTATTCTTCACAGGGTAGTATTTTCTTCTTAACTTCTTGCATTTTACATTTCACAAAGTCAGACTTCTATGAGTGTTTCAATTGCATAAATTATTATCATTCTTTATGCACCCAAACACTTCAGCAAATGAAGCAGATGCCTGCCTTGATGAGGTTTCAGTCTAAAACCATAACTCAAAGGCTTTTGCTGATGAAATATTGTCTACTCTTTAGCTGCTGCTTTCTTCATAATATGCAGAAATATGGAAAGCTTAAAATTTCTGATGTTCTAAGAATGTTCACCTTGATTCCAGGACAATTTATTGGATTCTTATGTATTTAGAGCTATGCCATTTATCCAGATTCAGAGAAAAAAAAAATACTAAAAGCATCAGAAAAATCAAAAAGTGACAAAAGAAGGGGAGAAAAAAGAAAGAAATAGAGAAGGAAGGATTTATTTCATTTTAATTAATTCAGTAATTCTTCATCTGTATGCTTAGCTTTCACTTAGGACAATGCAGGGATGTGCAGAACCATTGCTTAAGAATCTTACATGTAATTTATACACATCAGAATAAAATTTCACCTGAATACTAAGAATACACTTCCTTGAGGGGAAAAATATTTAATAAAACTCTCTTACAAGCACAGAAAAGTAAACAAACCCATTTTAAGAAACAAAATTACTTTGAAAAGTCGAAAAATTAAATTGACTGTGGTAAAAAGGAGGATTTGTCTGCCACAAAACCCTCACTTTCAGCTTGATTATGCAACTTAAATGACATCTATCTGCATTTTAATCCCTGCTTGGAAGTCTGCTGGTAGAATTAATAATTATAATCAAAATCCATGAAAGTCCATGCTAATGATAAGATAAAGAACTTACTCCCACCACCTACAGTGAGCAGCTAATCTTCCTCAATGTCCTAATCTACTGACACACAGGGTTTCATCTGAAATAAGGGCTTAATAATGAATAATCTGCCTATGAATGATTCTGCTGAGCAGAAAATGGAAGATAAAAGAAGGAATTCTGAAGAATTACCTATCTCTGATTTTCTCCAATTTTAAGATTGCTTCTCCAGTGCCCTCCCCCTTCCCCAGACAACAAACCAAACCAAACCAAATTAAAAAACCCAACCAAAACCCACCTTTTTTGATAGTTGCTGCCACCCTAAGGACACAAGCAGCCAGAACTGCAGAAAAGTGGTCCCTGTGTGGCTGCATCCTGTGCAGGTGTGTGCTGGATTTGGCTGGGGTAGAGATGTTTCTCTTCATACCAGCTGCTACAGGGCTATGTTTGGATTTGTGCTGGACACAATGCTGATAATACAGTGATGTTTTCTCACTGCTGAGTAGTGCTCACACAGACCCAAACGCTTCTCTGCTCCTCTCCCACCGCATCAGCCAATGGTCTGGGGAAGTGCAAGTTGGAAGCTTTCTCATTGTTTCTCATTTTACCCTTCCCATTCTCTTCCCCCATCCCACTGGCGTAGGGAGTGAGCGAGCAGCTGTGTGTTGCCTAATTGCTGGCTGGGGTTAAATCACAAGATGATATTTAGTGTAAAGCTGCAAGCTGTCATTAGCTCCTGAGAATGGAAACATCAGTGGAAAAATGTAGGGAAGCTAAGTCCCTTCTTTAATAAACAGTTTGGGAGTTTAAATTTGGCACTTGCAGAAAGTCAGTTTCCTGCCTGCACTGTTTAACGAAGTTAATCTCTGTGCATATGTACTCTACAAAGCTGAGGGAGGTGAGGCGGATTACAAAAATATTTATTTACTTGTGTTTGAAATCAGCAACCAGAGAACAGCTACTTAGGCTTAGCAGATGTTTCACTGTTGCAACTGACTTCCTTACCCAGATTTGAAAAAATTACCAAAGAGTTGTAAATTTCAAATGTTTGCAATTTCAAAGGCATTAAGTATCTTCATTTTTGAATGACAAACCTGGAACATCCTTGAGGGTGTGTGTAGTCTTTTGGAAACACAGAGCATAGAGAATCAAGGCCCTTTATTCTATCCTTGAGTGAGTATCCAAATATTGATGAAGGGTGATGATCTTATTGATGTCATTTTACCTGTGAGTGAGCTGCTTCAGTGAGACAGCAGATACCAAAAGGACATCTGATTCTGAAATCCATACAAAGAAATGTCAATCATCAAGGAGTGTACTTTGTTGACAATCTGAAACATTAGATAGTTCAACAAAGCCTGAAATACTAAATACATAAGTGAAAGCTTATTTAGTTCACCAACAAATACACTGCACAACTTCTATACGTGTGTTGATTTGGATGTGCAAGAGAAAAAACAATAACGAGCATGCAGCATTTTGTAAATGAGTGTGCCACACAAGACAGTCATGATCAAATTCTTCAAGTACTTTTCCAACTGAAAGAGAATATTCATCTACAGTTACTTTTACTCTAGTGATCTTGATCAGAAATAAAAAGGATTTGTCTCAATTTCTGGGCAAATTCACTGGAAGAGACAGTGCTTCCACCAAAGCCAGCAGGAACCCAACGTAGGCAAGAGGTGATAATGAAAAGTGGATGAAACCCCAGTTTTTATTCACTGTCCCCTCTTAAGCCTCCCATCAGAGCTGGTTGGTATTAGCAGCAGGTTGAAGGCTCCTGCTGTCCCAGACTGCAGATACCTACCAGGGCCCCAGGCAGGACAACACCCGGGGTGAGATCAGGTCACTCTACTTTACAGTCCTTTCCCAGCTCATGAGAAACTAATGAGCTTTGTTATGCCTGTGTTGTAGTGCCAGGCAGGGGCCTCAGCCTCTAGATGACTGGAAACCTCAAAGGGACATGGGACAGGGGAAGAAAAACAGGGCAGGTGGGGAAGAAGAGCAGCAGAGGAATGAAAACGTACCCAGCAAGGCAAAGCAGGATCATACTGCATACTGCAGGGTGGGGAGAGGCCAAGTTTATACAATTCCAGGCCTTTAGTTTCTGATTTCACTTTTGCCTTATGCATCAGTCATAGTCCTCACAAAGTCCCAGAGTTCAAGAAAAAGCTGCCTTTTGTTGGGTTTACAGATCTTCAGCAGTGCCTCATGGATACGGCCATAGGGGAGATAGGGAGGAATGCTCCAGCTCGACTGTACCCAGCCATGGAGCATGCTGCCCAGAGCATGGTTAGGTGCTGGCTGGGTCTGCTCCTGGCTCAGCTGCCAGTTTGCCCCTTCACTTCTCTGTGCAGCTGTGTTGGCCCTGTGCAGAAGTTGTAGCTGATTCTTGGTCCACAGGGTCACTGCCCACCTTCCCCAGGCTGCTGGTGGGGCAGGTGGGACTCCTGGACTCCCCAGGGAGCTTCCAGCAGCTAATTTGAGATTATTTCACTGTGAGCAGGGATGCTGGTCAGTCAGGTGTGAGCCAGCAAGCTCCAGGGAGGACTTTCTGTCATGGAGAGCACTGTTTCATGCCATAAAACTGCCCCAGGACAGCTAATGGCAAGGAAGGAGAGAGCTCCCAGAGCATCAAACCACAATTGTTCAAAAAATCAAGCATCACCATATGTTGAAATCCTTTCAGAGCCTTGAGTGTTCTATGAACAGATGTCTGTCTTTCAATTTAAAATTAAAAAGCAGACAATGGTTTGGTGGACTACTGACAGAGCCCTAACACAACTTATCTGCAGCCCTTTTGCAATGATTTTAGCATTTTTATTTACAGTTTGCCTGTAAATAAGAGAGAACATCTCTGACACATCTCATGAGGTCATTGAAGGTGTATTTTATTTTTATTATCTTCCCTAAAGACTTTGGGTTTCATTAAAATCCTAAGGCACTTGCTTCCTTTTAAAAATTAGTGGCATTGGCTCTTCAGTAGAGCAATGATTACTTAAGGCACAATTTGCTCAGCCTGGTCAATTTGCACTGTAACATTACCTGCTGGTGAGCTCTACTTTGTACATCCTTTTAAGACAGGTGGGGAATTAATATTTCCAATCATTTGTCAGTCTCCATGTGCCTAAACGTGACTGTAAATTTTTTTCTAAAATGCCATATCCCAACTATGGAATAAATTATTCCAAACAGAAGAGCCTGAAACATGAATCAAACATGATTTTGCTTGGGTCTTTAGCATTTTATTGCATTTGGAAAATTCTGGATATAATCCTACACATGAGAGGTTTTTTCCTGCAGAAAAATGCTTTTTAATCCTGTGTGAAGTTCTGCCACCTATCCCTGACAACAGGAGGGTGATGACAAACACAGACCACACAGATATACTTTTAGTGTGGAAAGATAAATAATGGTTAAGATATATTTACCCATCTCCTTGAACATAAGCTTAATCTTTTGTGCTTTCTGGGTTATCTTTTGCCACAGAGAAAGTAGCCTTTTCCTGAGAATATGACACATACTATGTGACACAATTAAAAACCAGCTGTGACCCTACATCCTTCAAACCATGGTGGATTTCTGATGGCTTCATTTCTCCACATGATGTATAAGGACAAGGAGCTTTCTCCCAGACAGACTAAGGGGGATTTTGGGGTCTATGTGTGATCTGGGACAAAGCACCAGCCTGCCCTGCCTGCCCTGGAGGAGATGGGGAGCAGAGCTGAGAGCAAGCTGCTTTCTGTCCCTGTGACAAAGGAGCGACTGAAAAATGGCAGCATCTAAGAGAAGGCTTATGGATGTATATATATTTCAAAATGCAACCTTGGATGTTTCTTCTTTAATCAGATTATGATGCCCAAATTTTCCCTCCAATGCATGAGACAATCCATTAAAAATCTTGTTATAATGTTGCACATAAAGTAAGACCTCTAAGAATGCATCCACTGGGGACTTGTCCTTCACTGAGGGATCACTTTATTCTAGTTGGCAGCATCTTGAAGAAGAGGCAGGGCTGAAAGCCCTTTGCCAAAAGTTTTCAGAGAAGCTTTCTTAATGGTTCTTTAATTTTCTGTGTGCATTTTACAACATTTCTCCCTAGCTGTTTGCAAATAGAGTTAATTAAAACCTGGGATAATCAATGGAATAGGTAATAGTTTAGGTATAAAATGAGGTAGAGACGCTAAAAAACTTCAGGTGACAGCAAGTTCTAGGCACAGATCTTAGAAGTACTAGTCCCCCTTTTTCCTCATCACACTAACACTTCTCTGAGAGTATTTTTAGCATTTTTCAACACATGTAAGTCACTAGCTAACATGGTTTTGGTTAAACCCTATTTTCTGCACCACACACAACTTTTCCCCCAAAAATCTGAAAGAACCCTTCCATGTGCCCAAGTAGAATGTGCACCAGAGTTTATATGGAATGGTTTGGGGAAAGGAAGCCAGCTTTATTTTCATGAATGTGAAGGAAAGCATTCATGTGCACTTGAATCTCAAAAAGAAAATGGGCCAGGCAGAGATCACTAAGAAGCAAGCAGTGTCAAAGGGGATGTGAACAAAAAGCCAAAAGGGAACATCATTCCCTCACAGAGCTGCACAAGGCATGGAAAGACCATCATCCATTCAGCTCAGGGTAACTCAAGGGATTGTCATCATGGCAGCAGGTGAATGGGACATCTACGAGCCAGAAAGTGCCAAGTCTTTGGATACTAACTTGGACCATTTGACTGATTAACTTTCATCATTGTGTGGCACTTGTCTTTGGGTATTTACTCAATTTGTGAATATGGAAAGGAGGGAGGTAAAGTATTACCTGTTTCTCTTAATTGTATGGATTTGGGATTACATAAACCTAAAGAAATGAATATGCAATTTGGCGACATCCCTGGTAAGCAGAGAAGGGAAGATTTGAGTCTGACTAAAAGTGGGCATTTTCAAGCATAACTAAGCATTGAGTACTGAAGATGGCACTGTTATTACTCATTTCAAACTAATCCAGCAGGACTAGCAGATTCCCTATTCTTGATGAATAAAGTTATGTAAGGACATGCATGTGAACCCAGAGAACAGCTGCTCTTGCTATTGCAGAATCACAGAATCCTTTAGGTTGGAAAGGGTCTCTGAGATCAAGAACAACCTGTGGCTGATCACCACCTTGTCAGCTTGAGTACGGCACTAAGTGCTATGTTCACTCATTTCTTGAACCCCTCCAGGGACAGTGACTCCATCATGTCCCTGAGCACTCAATTCTAATGTTTTACAAAACTTTGAATTAAGAATTTCCCTATACTGTCCAGCCTGAACATCCCCTGGCAAAATGATATCCTATGTATTACCCTGCACCAAACTGCAGGCTACAAATTTCTGACCTGCAGAGCAGGGGAAGGCAGCATCTGGGCCTTAGTCTGCGTGCCACCTAGGTACCTATTGTTTCTGTATATAAAAAGAGTCGTAGAAATAAATTTTTCCAAT